GGGTACTGCGATTGTTGAAGTATACCGGATCCCTTTCACAAGCCTAAAATTGCTACACCATGCAGCAGCCTCTACTAAGCCACGAAGACCTTCACGGAACCTTGATATGGTAGTTTCCTTGAATCGGGGGACCCCAGTATAGACCCCAACATATTGCCTGCAAAGGCTTTGGGATACCAAAGGCCATTGGGGTTCGGTGGAGTGGCGGGCCGCTTGGAATTTTGCAGAAGTTGAAAGAAAGGTGGAAATTTAGGGCGCCAACCCTAAAACCCGAAAAGGAATAAGGTTGGGTGGATGCCTGCGTAAGCAGGGGTGAGAAGAGAGAGACAACACACCAATTCTTGGCTTGGGGCACGAGACTTGCAAGATATGCTCCCCCCCCCATACCCCTGGGTGTGTTGGGACCACGCTTGTACATAGCCTTTCCAACCGCCGCACAGCGAGACGCCCTAAACCTTAAGCTCCAAGCCCTAAACCCTAAGCGCTGGACACCTAAACCCAAAGTCTACAGGCCATGTTAGACCTGGCCAACTCATCGGACCCCTTCCTGGGCGCAACTGTCTTCCAGCCTCTTGCCAGTTTAGGTCTAGGCAGGGCAAATCCTTAAATCCTGATTACGCCCTAGACCCTAATCAGGGGTAAGGGCACCCTAAAACCCGAAACCCTAAGCTAAAACAAGGTTTAGGATTCAGGGGTGATGGAGAAACAACTGGAACAGCAAATGGAAGGTGGATTTAGATAGTGGTTTGAAGGGATTACTGGAGTAGGAAAATCTGAAGGCAAAGCCAAGTACTACCCTGTAGCGCCTTGGAACTAACCCTAAACCCTAAACCCTAAACCTGGATCACATCATGCCTGCAGGAAACCTGGTAGCATTTAATGTATATTCCTCAGTTCAGGTAAACAATTAAACCCTAAACCTGGGCACAGCCCCGAGCCAGGTGCCGAGAACTAAGATAGTGTTCCTCATTGAAGTCAAAGGTAGGGTCTAGGGTTAAAGGGTTTAGGGCTAGAGGCTTTTCAGGGTTCAGGGTTTAGCCCAGCCAACAGTTGTGCATGCGAGCATGGCAGCCGCTGAGTGCAGCTTGCAGGAAGCACTTGATCAGCGTTGGCCTACTTAGGCTCAAGCATGGAGAGTTTGCGTGCTAAACCCCTGAACCCTAAACCTATAGGGTGCAGGGTTTAGGGCATACCTCAGCCCCTGAATTCTTGGCAATTTCTGCCTGAGTGAAACAAGGAAACCCGGACTCCAAAGCCGAAGACTGCCCCTGAGGCCAAGGTTTTTTTTTTCGGTTTAAAGTCAGTTCGACCAAAATTCCCGAAACTCCGACATGGAACCTGCCACGAGCACATAGCATCGGAAAAAGTGTGAATTCTCACGTCAGGCGCTTCACCGAAAGTCCTGAAATTTCAAATCCTACAGCTTCCGACATCCGACAACTCCTCAGGCCCCACAACACCAAGCCCTAAACCCTACTCCCTTACATGGAAAATCTATTCCGTAATCCTATTCCCGAAACCCTTGCCTCCAGACCTAGATTCTATTCCCTAACCCAACCCCTAAGCCCTTACACCCTACATGATATCCCCAAAACCTAAACAGTATTCCCCTAAACCCTAAACTGCATGCACTGCATGCTCCGAAACCCTTGAAACCTATCCCCCTAGCCTGAACCCTAAACCCTAACTTAGGGATTTTAGTGTTTAGGGTTCAGGGTTTTAGGGCTTAGGGTTAAGGGGAGCCTTGTCAAATTTGCTGCCATGGGGCGCTTCGCCGCGGCCTTTGATCTCCTTGTAGCTCCGCGCAGTGTCTCGAGATGCTCGGCTCCAGGTAACCCTAGTTGGAGGTTCAGGTAGCTATCACCAAATTATACATGTATGTAGCGTGTATATATATATATGCATATGTATATATGTATGTATATGTATGTTTTACCCACCCACTGACCCACCTTTTCCCCCTCGGGCACAAAACAAAAATATGTATATATATATAATATGTGTATATGTATATATATATTTGTCAAAAAGAGGGGGTGGTTCTGCTATTTTTTCCTTCTGGGGGTGCCAAAGGAAGATGAATGGAGTGAAGGAAGTATCCTCAGATGCGAGAGTACACTATTTAGTAGTGAATGATGGAACGGATTCCTGTAGTAGACCTTTGTCATAGGCTATATACCCTTATACACCCTTACATACCCCTATATACCTTTACGTAGCCTCATATACCTTTATATACTCCTTTATCTGCGCATACAGTAACCCCCTAAACCATAGACCCTAAATGCGGGGATTGGCGCGGAGGCTTCCTTTCCAACGCAGACAGCGAAGAGGCGAAGTCGTGGGAAGATTTGGAAGCCAGCGATGAGAACAGGCGTTTTAGGGTTTAGGGATTTTTGGTAGGGAATTGGGGAGTGAATTATGTGGTTTCGGGTTTAGGGTTTAGGGTAGAGAATGAGGGATTATAGTATCTTATTAGAGTGTAATGTACGGATTCTATTCCCTTATTCGCTACTAATAACCAGCACGTTTACGGTTTAGGGACTCGAGGTCAGTGTACTTAAGGGGTATATATGGGTGGGGAGATATGTGAGGACGTACAGTGCCATACATAGGGTTGTTTAGGGATATACAGGGGAGTGGGTTCAGGGCTTTCGCACGTGGGGTTTAGGGATTCGGGATTCAGAGATATCGAATTTGAGATGTAGGGTTGAGGGTGTAGGGCATAGGGAGGCCGGCGATACGTTTCAGAGAGGAGGTCTGGGGATGTTGAATCCTTTGGGCGAGATGATTCCCGAAACCCGAAACTGCGTGGGGCGAGGGCTGCCTTGATACGGAATCTCCATACACAGGGTTCAGACTCGCAGGGTTTACTTGTAACCCCAATTGCCATCAGTTAGGGGGTAAGTACAAGTAAACTATAGGAAATAGGGGTTACAGGTAGGGTGTGGGGTTTCTCCTGTTTTTTTTTTACGGCCTACGCTGTAGGCCCCCTCAGCTCCTCAGAGCAAGCAGGTGGTAGGCGACAGGCACATTCCGTCCGCTTCTTGAATGATAGCTCATGATGAGCGACATGTTGTGGCGTAGTCACGTGCTTGTTGAGGTTTGAGACGGACACGCAAATGCTGGCCGAAAACTGTCTGGGAGTTGCATCTTTTCCGCTTTTGCTTTGCTACAGGCCAGGGGTCCGAGATGGGAAGCGCGGATACTTTCTAGGGGGTTGGTGGGAAAATGTGCTGGGATCTGGGCCGGACTTGGAATATCTACATATCCTTCATTGATTTCATGTTTCATAGAGCTCTAAAGGCCAACCAAGTACTTCTTTAAATTTGAAGATTGTAGTATGAGGAAATGAACGGAGCTCGGTACTAATCAGTCATTCCCATGTTCCTCCATCGTCCACTTTGAGGGTAATCTGTCTTTCCTTTCGCGGGAGCCCACCTGCACTAAACTAAACCTCTAGGGCTGCTACATAAATCGCCGCATATCTAAAACCGTAGACCGTAGCCCAATGTCCATTAAGTTCCCCATATGACTATGAATTATTGAGCCCCCGACCCAAACCCTGAAACCATAAGCCCAGAGCGGTTGTTTCCATCTTGTTTTCCATCATGAACCCCAAGCCCCAAAACCCGTCTGAAACCCTCTGCAGACCTGATGCTGGCAGCTACGATTACTGGCAGAAGCGTGCTGCCACCTATGACCAGGACTTGGTCACAAATCAATAAGGAGTGTATTCTATAGGCTTCGGTGAGTGTATAAAGTCGCGTCATATGGCGTCAGTTTGTGGAGAACATGAAAGAAGCCCATTCCTGACATCGGTCCTGAAGTGTCTGAGTACTGAGTGAACTGCCAAAACTATAGATAAGGACCCTGGTAGGTATATTGCTGTTAACTACTACGTTCCTACTATATTCTGCGGGTTCCCTGTTTAGGGTCCCCATTGGAGTCCCCTTACAACCCCGGGATGGAGGGTAGGGGAACTCCAGTAACCGACTCTCGCGATCAGGATATCTTCCGGTCAAGTGATGAGGACAACAAGGCTGTGGCGCGATTTGACGAGTTTTGCGGTAGGCTTTAGCTCCAGGGATGTAGTAAGAGCAATGACTACCAGTGACCACCATAGGGGTCTGGACGACATACTGCTGAGGGCATCCAACCGGACCGTGGGGGGAGACCCCACCCGAAACCCTGAACCCTAAAGCTTTGACTATGGCTCACTTCGCGGTTTTGGGCAAGTACTACTTGGAGACAGGCGCCATTTTTGGAGTTCGGGGTAACTATACAAAGGGTTGGGGGGGCTTGGTACTTGCATAACCCCTGTATAACCACATTAGGAGCATTAGTGGCCTTTTAGTTGCCCCGCTAGGTTGTATGTGACATGCAGGAATCTATTCACGCCCAACTCCATCCCCGGGCATGCCCCTACAAGTGCGTTTTGGGGCTTTAGGGTTTAGAGTTCCGGGGGTTTGGATTGAGGGCTCAGCCCAAAAATTCTGGCCGATATAGAAGTAGAAGCAGGGACTAAAATGATTACCATTATTATGATCTTGGATTCCTTGTACAACTGTGGTTTAGGATACCTTGGTTAGACCTCAAAGCCATATGAATAGCCAGTTTGAATAGTCCCTTTGAACCTCTACACTCAGTTTCTCTTTAACTGTTCATCTCCTTTCCGTTAGATGTTCCATTCTCAGGCTTCTACATGCTACGGGCTTGGCCACCTCACAGCTATAGCACCATTTCTCCTATATTACTATCATGATTATTATTGCTATTATTGCTATTATTACTGTTATTACTATTACTACTATTAGTACTATTATTACTATCATTACGATTATTACTGTTATTACTATTATTACTCTATTATCAATATTAGTATTGCTATTATTACCATTCTTGCTATTGTTATTACAATTATTACTATTATTATTACTATTATTACTATTATTACTACTACTATTATTTCGATTATTACAGATTATTATAGATTCCAGGGCCTCATCCACGGTGAGATTGACGCTGCAGCGCTGCGAGCGGAGAAAGCCCGGGGGCTTGGCAAAGGCAGGGAAGGTATCCTCCGTGGGTTTAGGGATTAGGGTTAAGGGGTTTAGGGTGGGTTTAGGGTTTAGAGTTTTAGGGTTTGGGGGTTTAGGGTGGGTTTAGGTAGAGTTTTAGGGTTTAGGGGTTTAGGGTTTAGGGGTTTAGGGGTTTAGGGTTTTAGGGTTTAGGGATTTAAGGTTTAGGGTTTAGAGTTTAGAGTGTTTGAGGGCAGGTTAGGGTGGGGTAGGGAGCGTAGGGATAGGGAGGGAGATGGATACGAAAGTCGAGTAATGAGTGCTACTGACTCCACAAGCCCCTCCAACACCGAAGCCTGAGAGCTGCACTAAACCCTAAACTCTAAACACCGCCCTGGGATCTACAACTCCAGGGCCCAGCAGCGTCCTAAACCTGCAGCAGCCCATTGTATAGCTTTTCTGGGTTTAGGGTTTTTAGCCCTATGACTTCCATGCAGCGAAGTCCTGAACCGTACATCCCAAAATTGGCTTCCTGGGGTCTAATTAGTAGCCAGTATGTCGGGATTATATAGGGATGATGTTCCTCTATTCCCTACTAGCAGAACGCAATGTGCCATTCCCTTATTCCTTATAACCACCAGTAAACAGACGGCCACGAAGGGGACGCGCCAGCAGCGGCTTCTAAGCTTGTGGCTGTAGATGCTGGGTGTGGACCAGGCTGGGACTCACGAGCCTGGAAAGGGTTTAGGGGTTAGGGTTTCGGGTTTAGGGGTTAGGGTTTAGGGGTTAGGGTTTAGGGTTTAGGGCTCAGGGTTTAGGGCTTAGGGTTTAAGGCTTAGAGTTAAGGGTTTGGGGTTTAGGGCTTAGGATTTGGAGTTTAGGTTTAGGGCTTGGTTTAGGGGTTCGGGTTTCGGGCACAGGCTTCAGGCTGCAGAGCTTGTGCAAGAATTCCTACACAGTCAGCTCATAGGTTGGGTCAATCCCCCACCCAGTACTGGGTACCACAATGGACTATTATAGGTATATAAAGGCCTTCTTAATTCCATATTAACGCGCTATTACTATAGGGGGAATGGCGGAACTGACAAGTTGTCCAGGTTGTAATTACAATTTGCTCGCTCCACATGGCGCATGGTTGTTGTATCTTGGAAAAGCTCCCAAACATGATAATGCTCCGGGCTATATATCGAGCCAGTATTCAGGAGATTCAGGGTTTTAGGCACAGCTTCCCCGAGAGCCCAGTAAGATTTGATTAAAGAATATTCTTAAAATCAATTTAGGGGCTCTATTTCATTTGAGGGATGTTCCTCGATTAAGGTAACTTGGTTCAGTACGTTTGGCTTTTTGAATTAGGGAGTGTAGGGAGGTTCAAGGTTGTAGGTTGGAGGGGTCGGGCCTTGTCGGGTATGTGCCAGGATATGTAAAGATTCAGAATTAGATAACTTAGATACACACCAGCAGAAAGATACACAGTGGGAAAACAATGGCCCTACTGACATTATTACAATACGGCAGAGGATTCAACCTAAACCCTAATCCCTGTATAGCACCGTTATCGTAGCTTCAATTGTTTCTTTTCCACTATCCCAATATGACCCCAACATAACCCTAAACCCGAAACCGGTTCTTTGGGTTCGGGTTCAGGGGTGAGGTTTGTAGTTTCCAGCATCGCAATGCTGAATCCTGAAGCCCAACATCTGTCTTCCAGTTGGGGGAGTAAAACGCCTTAGCGCCTGGGACTAACGGTTTTGGCGTGGTAGTTCTCTTGAAGCTTCCGATGCAAAGCCCCCGAAAAGCGCAGCGTCCTTGCGAAACCATCTGCAGGTTAAGCTTTCAGGTCTAGTTTACAGGGCGGCCGCATGCACCTTCAGCCAACCCCCCCAACATGCATCCTCTGCAAACGAATGAGCTATAGTCTAAACTCCTCAAAAGGAGTTGTCGAAACAAGGAGTTTAGACTATAGCTGGAAGAGCCCAGTCATCCTTAAGAAGGCCTGTTGTCCCCAGTAATCCTGAATCTAGTGGGTAGGTTTCAAAATTTGCAGGGGTTTATGGCGGGTTATGTAGGGGTACATCGGGTTTAGGGTCTAGGGTAGTTTCCAAAATTAGGTTCCCAATTTCGGACCCAGAAATATTAGGTGCCATAAAATCATCTAGAACCAAAAGGGGCCGTAATTTTGAGGACAGCTCTAGTAGCCACATGACTTACAAGACTGGTGCTTAAGGGGAAGTGGGGGAGCATGTCCCTGGGAATGGGTTTAGGGTTTAGGGTGTATGGTCCCTGCATTTGCTCCCCACTCCCCCCTGCAGGCGAGTAGGATGATGCCCAACTTAAAAAAGGACACGATGGCTGACTCCTCAACTCTTCAAGGGTTCTTGCTATAGCATTTGGGCACCGCAAAACCTGAACCGTCAATCCTAGCCACAGAAACAACCCTATGTATGCATGTACGTATGTACGTATGTACGTACGTACGTACGTACGTACGTATGTATGTATGTATGTATGTATGTGCGTATGTATGCATGTACGTATGTATGTACGTGCGTACGTACGTACCAACAATCTCCATATGCCCTATCTTTGTACGTATTTACCCCCGCATACCCCTACAACCCCTTTCAAGGGGACCAGTGACATGAAATGCAGGTCTTTGGCTCGATGCTTTGAGCAAAAGCTTCGGCCGAGTTGTGGGCATCGATCAATCGCCAAACTTGTTAGACAAGGCTTCGGGCTTTTGGGGGAAGGCTTTAGGGTTTAGGCGAGGCTTTTTGCGGCGTAGGGCTTAAGGGTTTGGAGTTTTAGGAAATGGAAGGCCTGATTGGAGGGTCAGGCTAGGGGGTTGCTTTTCTGCAAGCAGACATGGAGCCTCAGGGTTTAGGGTCCAGGGTTGTTCAGCGACCCCTGTCACACCCTTGCAGAGACGTACCGAACACAGGCGAAGGAGGACAATGAGCATCTTCTCCATGACAAGCACGCCAAGGCCTGAATGCTGCCCGAATCTGTAGTTTTCTGGTGAGGTGAGGTGTACCTGCTAGTCATGCTATGTCCCTCCTTCCGGGCATTGCACATACAGCTGGTCTATTCTGGTATGTGGCAGGGTTTGAGTGCCCCCCTGCATCCCCACAGTCCGAAGGCCTTCCCTCTTGAAGACCACCCTGTTGGGGGTTTAGGGTTTACTTTTTAGAGCTGACGCTAGACCAGAAACCACTAAAAATTTCCAAAGCCACCCCATGTGATAGTTTTCATAAATATAAACCCCATTATATAATTATCCTTCTGATAGGGACCCCCAAAAAATCATTCATTTTGGGACACCTGTTAAGAAACCTTGCATTTGCATTTCGTCATGGACCACTATCAGGTGAGTTGTATTTTTACCAGATACTGTAGTACTGTAGTCCGCAGAGTAAGACAGTATATATATATATACCCTCCCTTTCGGTATACTGATTTATGAGAAGAATATGATCGTATTTGGTTCAACCACAAACAAGCTAACTCAGATCCTTTAGCCCCAAACTTTACATATCCCCATGTATACCTATCCCCTTAACAGTAGTGGATTACCTGGCTTTTCACTTTCTATCTTCTTTTCTATGTGATTCGCCATCATTGGGGCAGTATGCCTATACATCACTACATCCTAAACCCTAAACCCTAATCATTACTTTCATTGTTATAACTCCGGCTAGAAGCTGCCTAGCAGAACACCCGTCCTTCTCTTTAGTGCCCAACCGTGGCCAACGTTGCTGTGGCGGCAGAGAGCTCGGAAAAGCTTCGACTACGTGCTGGTGTACACGTTGCAGCCGCACTTCAGGTGCGATGTTGAAGAAAGAAGGGCGCAAAATGCGAGTGCCTGGCATGGTCAGCTGCAGCAGGCACCTGCGCCTCCAGGCAGAAGCGGCAGGCACAGGAAGCCCAACAGCAGGTCAAGGCTGAAGAGCAGGAAGTAGAGACGGAGGAGGAAGCCGTGCAGGAGGACGAGGATTTCGTGAGCTTGGGACATCGAGCACGAGTTTGACCAAGATTGGTCGCTGGAGGCGTACATGTGGATGTACCATGCGGCGCCAGCGCAGACTCCAGTGATGGCCCCACCGGTACAGTCCTTGAAGGACAGCAGTGCGTCGGCATAGGAAACCTGCGCAAAGAAAATCCTTCATGCTGGGCCAGGGGTTGCCTTCTGCTTTTTTGCGGATGGTCCTTTCAGCATGGACGTCTTCTTGCACATCAACGTAGTGAAAGCGATCTGGCCAGATGATTTTCCTGGTTTGCCCGCCGTCGGCCAGGAGATCGAATTCAAGCTCGGCGAAAACACAGTGAGGCCTTGGGCAACTTGGGCGCGTGTCGTCGGGCCGGCGCTTCCCGTGGACAAGGTCAAGGTCCCTGCCAGCTCGCTGAGCTCTGTTTTAAAGAGACCTGCTGAGCAGATCCGGGAGTCAAATCCGAACAAGGCTGGATGGCTCAGGCTCCTTGACGTGCTGGGCATGGACCAGCTCCAAGCTTCTGTGAATGCTCACTCCCGAGAAGGAGCCATCCCAGAGTCAGTCGTGAATAGATTGCATGACCTGGCCGTCTGTGTCATGGCACCAACGCACGCTGTAGTTGATGCATTTATTGGCTGGCCATGTCCCCGCATTGCAGATTCCGAACACGCTTCTGAGTTCCATTTGAGGCTGGAATAAGAGGACTTCAGCGCTGAGAACGCCAAGCCGCAGGCCGAACGCTTGTGGATTCGCGCTGAGAAGGCATGCTATATGACTGCCATAGAACCCAGCTCCCTGGACCGACAGTGGACGTGGCAGCTACAACAGCAGCGCGCCATGCCGGGCATTCGCAGCATCATGGAACCCACATGGCAGCTACAACAGCAGCGCGCTATGGTTGGCATCCGCATCGCCTCTCTGGACCGACAGCGGACATGGCAGCATATGGCAGCTACAACGGCCACAAGAAGAAGTGTTGGATCCCGATGGCAAGGGCAAGGTGCAGTCATCTTAAAAGCGAGCGAAGAGGGAAGTGCTAAGTGAGAGGCCGCAGGTGACCGTAGCCTCGACGGAGACAGTCAAAATGAGGGTCTTCCTGAAGTGACTCAGCATGTGCAAAGTGTAGAGCGGGATCATCTTCTAAGCAGTGCAGAAGGCTCGGCTGTACAGTAGCTGGGTTGCCGGTGAAGTTCACAGGGAAAAAGGGGTCCGCCTAGATGGAGAACGATTTACGAGGTTTCTTGCCAACCAGCTCTTGCAACGGGGAGGGTGAGCCGTATGGCGCTCGGCTCAGCATGGTGCGTTGCAAATGGCGGAAAGTGCATTTTTCTAGGGCTCTTCCGTGGGCTTGAGGGCGGAACTTGCCTGGGCCACCGGCACTTTACCCCTGGATCGGCAGGTGTAAAAAGAACGTTTTAAAAATCCCTAAACCTTAACCGTGTAGCCTACATACACCTTTGAAGGGACCGGGGGCTTCCACGCCATTTTCCAAGCAGAAAACAACTTAGGTGGAGTTGCACCCTGCCGTGGACTTGGCGCAACCATGTACCAAAGAGTATGCCCCCGATGGCCAGGAGCTTGGACTTCAGTTCTTCAGGATTTGGCGTTAAGGGTGTAGGGTTTAGGGCTTGGGATTTAAGATGTAGGGTCTACGGTTTAGGTTTATGATTTTGGTGGGCTAAGTTTGGGCTAGGCCCCAATGCAGCAACAAATGTATAGTGGGCATTTACTGCGGGGAAGAAGCTTGTAAAAGAGTGAAACAGTGTCTCTTTTGGTCACTAGCAGTTCGGTGGTTTAACCATTTGTGAAGTAATTTGGAATAGCGTTTTTAGGATCCTGGAGTAATCTCTCGTCCGCCCCGGACACATGGGTTGCCCACCGCCCTATCCTAGGATACACTCAACAGAATGCTTTCTAGGGTTTAGCGTACAGGGTTTAGGGTGCTCTTTGAATTTTTTAGGAGAGACGGCAATCCGCATTTCCAAGCCGCCTTGGCGCACGTGAACTTCACTTCAAAAGTTTGCCCTCTCTTGGACTCACATGTCGCATCGTTTTTTTTACAGATTGCCGTCTACATGAAGCCTTTTTTCAAGCTCCATGTTAACTTGGGAAGGGTAAACGTTGGACAATACGTAAGAATCGAAGCCGTGTGGTACTAAAGGGACCGGCTAAAGATGCGTTTGGTTTTTCGACTGCAGTCAAGAACGAAAATGCTTTCATCGAACCGTTGAAACACCTCAAGTCCTACAAGCCTGGATCCTTGCTCCGTATTCTTGTATTTGTTCGTGGTATGGGAAGCGATCAAGTAGCCCAAAAAGTCCTCGTTCTTTTCTACGAAAATAAGACCTTCATATCCCCTCACTGCAATTTTTGTGCAGGTAGGGATTTCGAAGTCAATGCTAGACATGTCCATTGATACTTGTACCCTCGCCTTTGCCATGGCACATTTGTAGCGTCTTATATCATACGTTCCTTAAGCACCCCCGCGGTACTTCGCCCTCCCCTGAACCCTCGGGTTTCTTTTGTTTGCTCCAAGTAACCCTGGAATTGGAAGAATGAGCGTCGGCGCTGGCAGGGGAACGTGGTTTGTTGTGAAGAAAGAGCACGTAAGGGAGCGAGAGAGAGAGACAGAAGAAGAAAATCACATCCAATTGGGTTTAGGGCTTAGGAAAAAAGGGGCAAACCATGGTGGGTGTATGATGGGGCGGCCTAAACCCTAAACCCAACCTGGGGGGGATCCTGGGGAACCCATTTAAGCATTTCTCAAAACAGTCCCTGTATTATCTCTGACAGGGAGCCCAAATCTCTACATATAGCTAGGGTCGCAAGAGTATTTCTATTTTGAGAATTTCCCTGTTCAGAGGAGTTCTGCGGGCCTTCTGTGCCGGGTACCGCGCACAGCGCAGATCTTGTGGCTAGCTTCAACGTCCTCCTCTCTCCGCCTCTCAGGGGCATCCATTTAGACTTGGAGGTTGTTGGAAAATGATTTCGTTTTGGGTACCAAAGTTTTGGGGGCTGTATTGCCAGAGGGACCCGACAGGTTACCCCGATCTTGACAGCCTTCCATTCTGGTTGTAGAAAGTCTTTTTTGAGGCTCCAAAGCCCGATATTGAAAGTGTTCTGGGGTAGAGTCTTTAGTGTTCCAAATACTCAGTACACGAACCCTTTTTGAAAATGGGTGCTTATTTTACCCAGGTCCAATTTTACAAAGCCTGCCAGAGGTGGAGGTCTTATTTGGCGAAGGCTCAATGTGCAAAGTTGATGGAAGGTCGATGGTTTGATACTAACCAAACTCCAATCTACGAAGCGTAAACCCTAAACACTAAACCACGTGTAATATTACAAGGTAGAGATGTTTTGTTGTGTCGAGCCCCAATTCACGACGTTTTTCAGAGGAGCAGGGCCTTCGGTGCCCTTGAACCCAGCCGAGTATTACATGCCCAAGATAGAGCTCCTTCACCCCAAGTCTTAACCCCTAAAACCTAAAACCGGTAAGGGTTGAGGGTGTAGGGGGAATCCTTATCTTAACCATATCCTTGCATGTACTGCCAAGGAGCAAGGAGGCGAGAGAGCCCCGCGGCTTTTCTTCAGCCCTCTAGGGTGGATAGGGTTTAGGGGTTTGGGGCTTAGGGTGTAGGTTTTAGGGTCTCGCCAAAACTCCACGCAAAAGCCCATACAACCTGAAGCCCGACACCAATCATAAAGCCCTGTACGTATGTACATACCTACTCACAGACATATAGCATGCAAAACAAATCCTGAACACGTTTCGGGTTCTCAGGCTTAAGGCTGAGAGGCTGGAAAAAGACCGGCTGCTTTCACACATTTTAAGGCTCAGAGTTTACTTGCTTGTGCTTCAGAGGGCGGGTGGATACCTACAGAAAAGTGTGTATATTTGATAATCCCTTCTCATTGTCGTTGCTTTCCGGTTTCAATCCCCTTGACGCACCGGCAAGTTTGGCTTGCTCACTCAAATGTTGGCTTTGGTCTTTCGAGG